CTCCCTCCTAACAGGGAAGTTTAGGAGGGGAATGGAACAAAGAAGTAAAAATAGTCAGCGCACACTCTACAGCATGCAATGCAAGGTAATGATTGACATATGACAGCACTCACATGTCAGCTTCCTCTCTGCGATACGAACTTGCAACCTGCGAAGGAAACCCTACTTAAGGCACTTAAGGCACTCATGGATCAGAGCACAATGAATAAAAAATATGTGTGATACTTTCTGCAAAGAGGGGACTTTAGTTCAATTTCTATGGCAGGCAAGAAGAAAGCAGGAAATCAAACATTAAACACTGAGATGTTGATGACAGCCTAGGTTGGGCCCCCAATATGTGGAACATCTGGAGAGCTTATTCTGAGATTCCTAGCTGGCTGGTCTGCTTTCGGAGCAGGTTTGAACCCCAAGGGGGCTCTATCTCCATTAGGCTAAACTTGGGTACCTGTTGTTTGTTTGCAAAAAATGTCCACTGTTTTAGGCTGGATTTGGGGGCAAGGTAGACATCTTACTGGAGAGTTTGTGCTGAAATTTATAGAGAGTATTTAAGACCCAGAGCAAGGAAGGTGTATGGTGACTGTTCCCCCTACAGAGGCCTGGGAGGATACTTCTGCTTCTTGTGCAGCATAGTGTAAAGTGTCAATGCATCTGGGATGCAACAGCAAAAGAGTACGACTAGGTACTGAATTCAGTCAGGTTGAGAGATGAATTTTGCATAGTTTAAAATACCTTGAAGGAAGAAGTGATGTGGTAGTTTTTTATTAGGCTATTACCTTTTTCAACTTGAAAAACAATAGCCTACAAATTATAATTCTATCCAAACTATAGAATTCTGAGGCTTTGCCAAATTATATTTGAATGATATTTCACTGCAGTAGATTGGAAAGTAAATTGAATTCTATTTAATGTGTATTTATTGTACACCTACCAAGTGCCTGATGCTATTAATAGGATCGGCTCAAGGAATGCAAGGGGGGATATAATGCAACCCTGAGATCAGAGGTATGCTTTGTAACCTGAATTTCTTCTGGCTTCACATGTAGCTCTAGATAAGGTGTATTCACATTTGACTGGATTGTGACTCTACCTGCATTCACCAGACCTAACCTGGTGTGAAAATCCCTTCTGACTAATGGTACAAAGTGATTCACCTGGGCTTATGAGCAAGTCAATGGCCAGCCTTCAAGGGCTTGGCATTCTCTTTCCCAACACTTCCCCTGCTCCAGCAGACTCCGGCACCCTGGCTCATGCTTTCTCTGCTGTCCTCAAGGACAGCACCATCAGTGCCCTGCAGAACCCAGCAGGCCAGGCGGCCCTGTGCACCGTGGCCAAGGGGAAGAGCAATAGGAGGATGCCTCTCATTATATTCAGAGAAGGTTGTAAGCAGGATAGTTTATGTCCCAATATTTAAGCAAGATTAATACAACAGCATTATCAAGTTTTATTTTGGCACTGCCCCATCATCCCCTTACCACCATCCTCTCCCACTCCAGAAGCCAGTAGGATCCTCAAAGCCAAGCTAACAACATAATTGAACCGTCAGAACTGTCAGAAACCACTGACAGTTGGAATCACTAATTCGGAATCACTGTTCGAAATCACTAATTCCCTCCAGCAACTAAGCCTCAGCTCTAGAGCTGATCCCTTCATGCCTGGTTCCTTCTTCTCTTTGAATGTGTTTCCCCTGATGTTTCTCTTTCTAAGTCCTTGCACGATGGTGTTTCTGGCAGATCCACTGAATAGGCGTTCAGAAATGCATAGACATGTGTAAGTTGCTTAGGCATGTCTAGGGTTGCTCATACACAGGGATTTGAGTGATGTGCACTTCATTTGCGTCCTGCATAGAGTCCCATGTAGCAGGACTGTTTCTAACATCCACTGCTCTGTGACCTCTTCCCCCTTGTCTGTACTCATTTTTCAAAGCTTGTTCACATTCATCCTACCTTCTATCTTATATGCAGTGATGGAGTTGCCTGTCTCACCTCTGCATCTGCACATGCTGCTCTCCTTGATTACATGGCTTCTCTTCCTTTCTCTACCTGATAATCACTTGCTTATTCTTCAAGAGTTTCCCAAAATGCTTCTTACTCTCTCATACTTGTTCCATCAGAGATGCTGTCAACACTATTTCCACTGTGCCTCATGCCCACCTTTACATATCATTGAGCCCATCACAGTCTACACGTATTTTTACTTGTACATCTCCTTCTTTAAATTCTGAACTTCTCAAGGGCAAAAACTCAGTCTTATTGCTTTATCCACAATGCTTGGCACAGAGCTTAACATGAATAAGTACACAATGGTTGTTGAATGGAAGTCAAGACAGATGTTCACGTTTATATTAAAAAACTAACAGTAAATGTCACCTGGAATCACCAATGATGCATGCTGAAAGAAACTGTCCCTCTCTCTTCTGGGAGCTGCATGAATGAGCATGAATGTGGAAATTACATGTTTGGACTATTGATTTTAACACAGAGAGGAGCCAATGTCTAGAATCGGGGGCTTTATCCTGACCCCCTTCAAGAGAGGCAGGGAAGGCAAAGGCAAAAGTTGAACGTAGTTATCTCCATTTCTGGGCACACTGATCTTTGAAGCTCTTCAAAAACTGTGCAAAACCCTCTTAGCAGATTATAATGTCATTGTTGACCACGTTATATAAATAAACTCAGAGTAGAAGCAGACATGGTTTGTTAAAATAATCACAAGAAACGTCATTGCAACCTCTTGACGGATCGACCACAACTGGTGAACAAAAACAAATTAAAACAACCACAGAAATGATAATTCATAACAAAACAGAACAAAATAAGATAAAACCAATAACCACACTGTAACAGCATTTTCACAGGAACTAAGGTCCTGCCAAAGCGTCAGTGTGTAACAAAGTCAGATTGTAATGGCTTCTAGGATGCCCCTTTCTTTTCGGACGGTGGTTGTCTGAGGGTAGGAGACTCATTTCTTTAAGATACAGTCTAGAAAATATGGTGCCATCTTCAGGCTAGCTGGTGTGAGAAGTCAAATTCTTAAACCTAAGGTCTTTAACAGGTTGGCACTCAGAGGCCCTAAAAAAGTCTGGCTGTGCGTTCTCACATATTTCTGCACAATCCCCCTGTCTTCAAATGGTGCCATGTATATTCCTCAAATCATGAGTCATGCAATTTTGCTCAAGTCTCTGAGAGGACTGTTTATATCAAGTGTCTTTAGAAAGAAGAAAAGGGAAATCAGATGCTTCTTTTATTGCTGAACTTCTTAAGTTGGAATGTGACAGTTCCTTTAATAAATTTATGAATCATAATATTTGTAAATCATAAAACAAATATATGGATTCTCATCTTCTGCAACAAAGGACTTTTTATATTTATGTAAATAGTGACATGTAAAAGATTATTTTTTTTATTTTTATTTCAAAATATCCAGGAGATACAGATGTTTTTGTTACATGGATACTTTTTATAACACTTGAGTTGGGGCTTTCAGTGTGCCCATTGCACCTGATAGACAGGTTTTTACCCTCACTCTTCTCTCTCCCTTCCTGATATCCAATGACCTTTACATCTCTCTGTGCTTGTGTGTGCCCAACAATCAGTTCCCAATTATTAGAGAGTACATGTGGTGTTTGATTTTCCACTTCTGAAATACTTCACTTAGGATCCTGTAAATGATAATATTTCAAACTCAATCCGGTCATCAATTGATGTACACTTAGGTTGATCCCACATCTTTACAATTGTGAATTTTGCTATGATAAACATTCGAGGGCAAGTATCTTTTTGATAAAATGACTTCTTTTCCTTTGGTTGATTCTCAGTAGTGGGATTACTGGATTGAATGGTAAGTCTACATTTATTTTGTTGAGAAATCTTAATACTGTTTCCCATACAAGTTGTACTAATTTGCAGTCCTGCCAACAGTGTATAAGCATTCGTTTCTCTCTGTATCGATGTCAGCATCTACTGTTTTGTTTTTGTTTTTAATAATAGCCATTCTGAAAGTGGTAAAGTGGTATCTCACTGTGATTTTAATTTTAATTTCCCTGATGATTAGTGATGTTGAGCATTTGTTTATATGTTTGTTAGTCATTTGTCTATCTTCTTTTGAAAAACTTTTGTTCATGACTTTTGCCCACTTTTTAATGGGGTTGTTTGGGTTTTTTCCTTGTTGATTTGTTTGAGTTCTTTGTAGATTCGGAATATCAGCCCTTTATCAAATATATAGTTTAGAAATATTTTCTCTCATTCCATATAGATTGTCTATTTAGTCTGTTGATTATTTTCCTTTACTGTGTAGATGATTTTTAATTTAATCAAGTCCCATTTACTTATTTTTATTATTGCTATATTTGCCTTTGGAGTCTTAGTCATAAATTCTTTGCCTAGGCTGATGTCTAGAAGAGATTTTCCTACATTTTCTTCTAGAATTCTTATGGTTTCATGCCTTACATTTAAGTCTTTTATCCATCTTGAATTAATTTTTGTAAATTGTGAGAGAGTCAAAGTGTATACATTGTTTTGTTTCTTTTGAGTTCTCCCATTTTATGATTCCTTTAGACTTAATTTATTGCAGGGATATCCACACACAAAAAAAGTGATTTACTCTTCATTCCTAAATAAGAAGGGACACTAGAATGTTGAATATAAGCTGCTGGGTACACAGTAGGATTTGTGAACTGGTAAACCTTACTGAAGGTAAACTGAGCAAGGATCCAGAGGTTATTTTGAAGGATGCCCTAATGCTAATATCTGTATCAATTTTCGCTTAGACCATCCTATTTCTCCAATTTAGAATTTATCAGCATATTCCCTTGGAGTATTGAGGCTACACTTTGGAACTAGGTGGGAAAGTAAGATAAAGAGATTTACTGCTCAACATATAACTGTTTACTCAATTCACTTGTACATCGTATCTGAGGGTCCAGAGCTTAAACAGGTTCATCATTTCCTGAGCATAATCTTTACCTTTTGCTATGGTTGAAGGAAAGTGAGAAGGAAGGAGAGTACCTGGGATCTAGAGCCTTCTGACAGAGTCTCAGTCTGCTTTAAGATCCATTCCTCACTCTGCTTACAGAGGTGCACGGTGTTTCTAATCCCTGAGCCTTTAGCATTCTATGCTGCCAATCAGCTTGCTTCTTTTTGGAAGACCTTTTTTTTTAAGCACTTAGGGTTCTTTATCTGTGATCATCATTCTTTTTGTCCGTTTAGTTGGCTTTCTGCATAGAAAAGAAACAAACACATGGTTATATTTACTATATTTAACCAAAAGTCTATTGGACACATTTTCAAATCTGCATTTTATTATCCTATTTCTTTTCTTGTGTTTTCAGGTGTGGTGTACACTCATTTCTGCATTTCTGAACATCTTTAACAGACTCATTTCTTAGTGTCTTAGTGACTTTCATATTGCCATGTGAAGCGAGCTCCCTGTGTTCAGACCAGTCGACTTTCTCTCACAATACAGTTTGCTTCTGTGTTTTGCTTAGTGCTTTGTCTGCTGACTTCTGAGACAATCAAATATGTACTGCTTTTTATAAGCAGATATTTGAGAGTTAGTTTCAAGCTTGCCTCTTTTTGAGTCCTCCTTATTTTTAAACCACTTTTTCTATTAGTTTCTTGGCTCACAATCGTCTCCATGTTGTTGGAGTACCACTTCCCCGCAGGGGACTGAACATCCAACTAAGCCTGGGCAGGCAGCTTAATTGCAGGACACATGGCTGTTTGGAGAATTGAGATTTTGTGGATGGGACAAATTTTCCGAGATTCCAACCTTTGTGCAAAGAGCCCATTTTATGCTCCCAGCCACCTCTACTTCCTTCCAACACAGGGTCTAAGGCTTTAACCCCCAGGAAGTTGACAGGGGTGATATAAACCCAGCCGCTAAGGTGCACACGTAGACTCCTTATGTCCTTGAATCCCTAAGCTTCAACCCCAACTCACTGCCTGAGGTCTGAGCTTACTCCTCTATGGCATCTGTATAATACCTTTCCTGTGCTTTCAAACTCTGATTTTTTTCTTACATTTAATCTAATATTTCTATGCCGTGAAGGGCAAGAGAAGTAAGAGGAAGGCAGAACCCAGAGCTCCCATTTTATAACTGTTCAGTTGCTGTGTGTGTATGTGTGTGTGCATATGCAAACAATCCTTTTTTGTGCTTTGAGGCATTTGTGCTTTTTCCTCCCCAGATGTCTCCTGAGCTTAACGAAGCCCTGAGATAACTCACAACTTTTGTAAATGGGAGGGAGAAAAGACTTCTACCTTGGGGTCAAAGTGATCACATCAGAGCTCCCTGAGCACAAGAGAAAGTAGGCGTGTCTGTTACTTATTCATAGAGAGGTTCCCAGATGTTCCCCTGACAAAATACCTTCCTCACAGGCTGCTCACATTATAAAATCCCACTCAGAGTCTTCTACAGGCATTTGTTTTTAATATGAATTCTCTCACTAGGTAGACTTCAGGGGGTCCATGTAAGCCCTAAAATTTTATGCAAAGCTATATGGACATGGGATTTTTTTCCATGTGAAATAATCCATAGTATTTGTCTTCTGTTAGTATACAAATAATCCCAGTGATGAAATACAATAGGATTATTTATCATTTTAATTCTTTGGTTTTTCATGTTTTTTCTCAAGAGGGTCAGTGGATTCCCTGGGACAAGAACAGGACCTGCCATCTCTTCATCCCCATCCTAACACAGTACCTGGCATTTCCTAAGTGGATTACAAGTATTTGTTGAATGAATGCATGAGAGGGAAGGTGACAGAGGACTAGAAAAGAGTACTGCTTTAAAAAGGGAATGTTGGGGGAAAAGCCAAGAAAGAACACTTGGTGATTGAGATTCCAGAGAAGAATCTGCCCGTCTTTATAATATGTCACTGGACTGAAAAAAGTTAACCAAAGAACATAAGAAAATTAATTTTTAAAATCCCCAACTGAAGAGCTTTTCACAAATATTACTAAAACAAAAACAATGACAAAATGTGCATGTTCTCATTCAGTAGAGGTAATGGATATTAAGACAGGTCTAAATTATGTGCTATTGAGCATCAAGGGAAGAAAAGAAACCAAAGATATTCCACACATGGCCTTCTCTATTAACCCATTTAAAAATGATGGGGCAAAAAATTTGATCACAATTTTCAGATCAACTTGCCAGCAGGCCTCCAGGGAGCCTCCAATTTTATCCCATCTCCATTATGCTTCGTGGAAAGACACATGACTTCTTTGTCTCTCAAAATAAGAACCAGGCCCCTTGGACAGATGATGCAAGAAGGCAATTATGTGCACACCAATTGCTTACACAGCTTGGGGGAGAAGTCACTGGTGTACAAACAAGCTGCACCGCTTTTGAAAAAGCCTCTCAATCTGGACTCTTTGACGACATGAGCCCTTCCCTCATCTCCAGTAGATTTTACAGTTAGAAGGGAAGGGAAAATTAGACAGATAAACTGCCAGTAGGGACAGGCTGAGGCAGGTTTCTTGAGAAACTGCAAAGTTACAACTTGAGCATAATGTCCTCCCTGCCAATCTGGGGGGGTGGGGGGCGGGCACGGTAAAAATAGTTGAAGTGGCAGGCACAGCGCTAAGCGGATTCAGTCCCTGATGCCTTTTCAAATATTTCTACCAGGTTTTCCGAGCAGTGTCTGCTGCCAATCATAGCGGTTCACTGATGAGGCACTCTAAGAGGGAAAATAAATCATATGCAAATTCTCTACATCAGAGGGAGGTGGGGGAAGAAATGCATGCCAGAAGAGGGTCAAGGAAATATATTATTAATAAATAAGTAAATCTCCTAACAAGTGAAATGCTTTTTTGAAAACTTCCAGACTAGCTTATCTGTACAGATTCCCAGGTTGCCCTCCCACCCCCAATGAACTATTCTACCATTTCTCTAACATCCTTATTTCCTATAGTAAATTAATAAAACAGAAGTTCGTCTCTGAAATGAAGTCAGTGTTCGGAGCAAAGAAACCCCAAAGCTGTTTGAAACTGCCCAGAGCTTTGGAAACACACCCACAACTACTCAGGAATGTACAAATCGTTGTTCCCATCTTGCAGGCTCCTGTCCTTCCTGCGTCGTAAATTATCTTTCCAGTAAGGGCCATGGTCAAGTTGTGCAAGTCAAGGACAAAGTGCTGGTCAACTGCTCATTCTGAAATAGGTTACACGTGCTCCTGGAGCACAGCCGCTGTCTTCTGTCGAGTCTCTGGCCTACCCCTCGGGGTTCCTGAGCCTGTGCTTCCCAGGACTTAACTGCCGGCCTGGTCTTCCTCCTCTCCAGCCCCATACCAGCTCACTAAACCTGGGCTGCCTTGGGCCAGTGCTACGTTCACAACAACCTAAGAGATACATTTCTAGGGATATAGTGATATTTACATTCCTGTGGTTAAGAGCTCACACTCTATCTGGCTTCCAACCCCTCAATCAGTAACTACTTACTAGCTCTGTGATCCTGGGGTAACCACAGGGCTTCGACAAGCTGCATTTTCTCATTTGCAAAATGGAGATTATAATGATTATATTTTAAAATTATTTTGAGAATGAAGTGGACTCATGTTTGGGGTGTAGAGTGTTGTTCTAATGCCTGGGCGATATTCGATAAACAGTAGTAGTATTACTATTGTTATTGTTGAAAGAGTATTTAAGCCAAGCAAAAGATTTCTTAATGGTAGGTACTTATGAATCATTGAAGGAGACAAGGGATGGAAAGGTTTTTTTTTTTCTTTTTTTTGTCATAGGTTAACTCTGTTTTTCTACCTGTCTGTTTATCTATCATCATCTGCTTATATCTGTCATAGGGGCACATATGAAGATAATGAGTAAGATTTGAAATTGGGACTGTCTCCATTTCTAGTGTATATGATTGTCATGGTAATATGAACATTACCTATATGAACCATGGGTGTGTGCTTATAACATCTCCAATGTTAATGACTTTAGTCAATAAATCCATTTATTTATCATTCATCATTCAGTCTATATTTAAGAAAAGTCATCAAGTGCCAGGCCCTGGGTTAGGTTCTAGAGATATAGGAAAGAACAGCCTATAGCTCCTGCCTTTAAAACATTCATGGTTCCACTACAAAGCCAACAATTCAACAAAAAATTCTGATATGAGTCAAATATTGAATGAACTTGTTAATGCTTGTTAAACAAAGTCTTTATATGCAGGATCTAACCCACCCCATGACCTCACGACTCATTCTGGAGGGGATGTTCTTGCTAAGTTTCTCCACCTCCCCAGAGGGGTGCTAACCGAACATCTCTCACTGGGTCCTACGACTACTTGCAGTGGCCGCACACACATCCGCCAGGAATATAATCCAAAGACTAGTAACACTCACTCCATGTTTCTCAAAGGCTCATTGAAGAGGATGGTTTACAAAGCACATAGCCTATGACTTCTGGCAGTTCTCTAAAATCTATTCTTGATTTGAGCCCCATCAACAGAGAATAAGGAATGCAGGCTCCATCACTTTGGTTATTCACTGGCTCCCAACCCTTAATATTTATTCTTGGTTTGATAGTCTCAGCACACACTGAGGGTTGTGATAAAGGAAAAAATCCTTGAAAAACTATCATCAAATCAGTTAAAAGATAGATTGATGTTGCACCTTAGGCTACCCTCTTTTTACTATAATTTCACTACTGTGTCATGCCCCTCGGCATTCAACCATCCATCTTTAAACAAATAAATACCCTCCCTGGATCACATGTCACTGTCCAGGTACTTGACTGTCTCTCTGCTACTCTTTTGAGCCGGCCTTCTAGAAAGAGTTGCCTGACCCCAAATCAAGCCTCTGTCCCCGGCAGTCTGGCCTTTAGTCCCACCACTAAATGGAAAGACATGATTTAAACCACCCGTTAAATCACTTATGTTGAGGCAACCAGTGATCACTCGCTCTCTTGAAACATTCTCTCCTCTCCATGCCTGGCCTTCCTGACACCACTCTTCCCTTTTCCCTCTCTTGTTGGTCCCCTTTGTTGGTGTCACACTCCACCTGACCTCAGTACTGACTCCTGAGGACTCAGTCCTTGATCTCTTCTATTGTTGCACTTTTGTCCAGGAGACCATGTCTATTCCCATAAATTTAAATACTATATTTAGTGATTTAAAAAAAAAAAAAACCTAAATGTACATGCACAATTCAGAATTATTCTCTGAACTTTCATTCACTACATCTCACTGCCTTGTACATACCATCCACATTTATAT